TGTCTCTCTGTCATCTCTCTCTCTCTCTCTCTCTCTCTCTCTCTCTCTCTCTCTCTCTCTCTCTCTCTCCTATTCATCTATCCCCCCTTACTCACTCCCACAGGCACCCTCTCCCTCACTCATTTAAGCCGGCCTCCAACCACTTCTCCAAGAGAGAGCGAGAACGCCCCATATGTTACTGAACCGTCCCCGCCCCACCACCGCCGCCGCCCGACTACTACGCCCCTCCCCCTTGCCCGCCCCTTCCCCACGCCGCTACACGTTGGCCCGTCTGTGTGTCGGCCCACCCGGCGAAATGGTGCATTCCGTGGGCCCTTTGTGGGTCGCTTTTCGTTTTGACACAGACACACGCACGCACACATGCACACACACACACACACGCGCGCGCGCATGCGCAGCCACACACATTATTACTCCGCACGCACAAGGGAGGTAAGGGAGAGGAGGTGAGAGTGGGAGTGAAGCTGAAAAATTACTCGTAGAGTTGGCCTGGCACCGCCTGGCGCTCTCGCGCTGCACCCGGCAACGTTTCATTTGCCGTAAGTGTCCTTCGTGCCCCCGCCCTGCTGCCAGCGATGCAAGTGTAGCTATTTACACGCCCCTTCTCCCTCCCCCTCTTTCTCTCTCTCTCTCTCTCTCTCTCTCTTTCTCTCCCTTTCCCTCTACTCAGTTAAAAGTCGACTTTGTCACTTGTTTATTCTCTGTACTAAATCATGGAGTTTAGTTTTAAGTATAATATTTTAAATTTAATAGCCTCTGTTGCCCTTGACTGAGGACCCTCAATAAGTTCAATTATCTAGCTACCGTCTTCACCCTTTTATTCCCCCCCTTTCACTCTAAATGGACAGTTTTGTATCCAGCGAGGATGTGTTCTCATGATGAGCACATTTCAAAATAGATGCAAATTTCTATCTGAAAAGTTGCAATTTTAACTGATTTCAACCTTTATCCTGTAAGTACAAATATTTTGTTTGTACGTGTCTTATTGTTTAGTCAAATTTGCATCTCTTCGAAATGTGGGTGATCCTCACTTGGTACAAAATTTTCACTTCCCATTTAGAGTGTTCGCCCTCCCTCCCTCTCTCCCTCTGCCCCTCCTTCCTCCTTTGCTCTCTCCCTATACCCCCTCCCCCCCATACGCTTTTCCCTGGCTTAGAGTGGAATAAGTGTAATAAGTCGCCTAGGGCCACAATGAGGATTTTTCATCGTCGATTCTAACAACTCATTAATCTCTCCACTACACACCTCCTTTTTTTAAAGAATAAAACTAAATGGGGAGTTGGCGGCGGCACCCATCAGTCTGCGCTATGATTGTAGGCCGCCCAGGCCCACAGCATCAGCAGCAGCAGCAGCAGCAGCAGCAGCAGCAGCACAGCAGCAGCAGCAGCAGCAGCAGCAGCAGCAGCAGCAGCACCAGCAGCAATGGTAACAACAACTGCAACAGCGGCAGCCGCGGCGGTGGCGGCGGCGGCACCGCCTGCCCTGGGGGCTGTTATGCAAAACGCTCTGGTGTATTTTTCATCTCTCTCCTCGCCTTTCCATCGGGTGGCCGGGCGGGCCGGGCCTGGCCTGGCCGCCTTCTTTATTCACAAAGGCGCCGCCGCGCTCGCTAGGCAGGCTCACACTGCCG